AAATCAGATTTTTTCTTAGTTTTTTTTGAAACTCATCCCCCACAAAGTACAAAGTGATACTTTGCGTTTGGCAAAATATCAAATAGGCCAACTAGCAGATCCTATTAAAAAGACCAAAGTACAGTGCTGATTTAAATTAACCAGACACAATGGAAAACATTTGAAATTTCAAACCCCTTTTTCTCAAACTTTGTCAAGATTAGACAATTATGTGAAGAGAACAAGGGTTGCTCAGATTTTTATGGTGCAATTTGTGTTTCCATATTCGCAGCCAAAGCGTTTTTTCCCCAGAAATGGATCATTTTGGCTTTTTTTCAATTAATCAAGATTTACGCTGCTATAACCAAGTTGATTGATGAAAAAATTTTATCAAAAGAAGGTTCGTATACAACTCAACAAACTCTGCAAGGATAAAACTGTCAAAAACTAGGTAAAACTTTTAAAATTTGTTTTTAAGCAAAGACTTTAGTTTTTATTTAGTGAATGTGACATTTTTTGGCTATCAACCAAAAATGTATTCTTTTAAAAACGTTTTTCGAAATTTTATTCTTCTAAAACTTTGTTGAGCTGTGCAAGAGGCTTTCTTTGATTTGATTTTTCTTCAAATTAATCTGGTAGTTTTAGTGTAAACATCCTAAATAGTTAAAAATGTCAAATTGACTCATATGTGAGGTAAATTTTTGGATGCGCATTTCAAAAAAAATTTGCACCATAATAACTCAGTTCTCTTCTTTTTTGTCTATCATAACCCACTTTGAGAAAAATGCGTTTCATTCTACAATTTTTGTTCCTCCTGTCCAGATATTTTAAATCAGCACTATATTAAATAGTTCAACTAGCCTGTTTTGTATGGGACTGTTTTGTACAGGCACGGCCACGCTTGTTCCATTGCTTGTTCATCTATTGCTTGTTCATTGCCCAAACTGCTAGATAAAAAGTCGAAATTTGTCTGGATATAAAAAGCCACTTTATCGAAAATAGTCGGAACAATAAATATAGATTTAGAAACTTAATGAACATGAAATCTAATCCGGTTGCAACAGATAAAAAAATAAATACTCAATTTTTCCATCTGCCTCCTACCTCCATACACCGAAAATGATTGTAATAAGTACTCTGGCTCATTACAATTCCAGACAATTGGTACAGATAGCATTTTTTCGAGAGACTGAAAACTTTCATATATTTTTTTAAATTGAAAAAACCTCTGTTTTCGGCGAAAACCCTAATTTTTTGTTTCTGACCGTTACCAAACACCTCATCTGTTTAAAAACCACCAATAAATTACGACCGGCAAAAAACGCCTAAATTTACGACCGGCGATTTTGTGATACCTCTACGATATCAAACGCGCATGTTTTGACGCTTTTGGTGCTTGTAATTCTGATAGGAGTATTTCAGCCCCATTTAATTTAATGTTGACCTGGTTTAATGAAGCGAAGCGAAATTCAATCTGCACTGTTTGCTTCCACTACATTTGCTCATTGCCTTTTATCCGTTTTCTGTTCATTTTAATTCAGTCTAGACCTCCTTCCGACAATGAAATCCGACAAAACTTGAGCGCCTACCTGAAAAAAAAATTTTAAGTGCATTTTTATTATAATTGTTTTTTTTTTCACTAAACTTCAATTCGACCATAAGTCCGACAATGGATTTTTGGTCGATCATAACATCTGGCTCGACGACTTCGATCAAAACATGAAGTCGAAATCTCGATCCGGCAAGTACTCTAGGTTCCTATTATGTTCAAACTAACACGTTGGATTGCAACTAACTCCTCTAATTGAGAATTTGGGGCCCAATATTCCTTATTATGATCTTATTATTTAAGTTATGATCTTATTTTTAGCTCCTAATCTTGTACATAACCATACCTAAAGGTAAATGAATTGCATACTAAATTTAAACATGACCTTGGTACATGTTTTGATACTGAGCTTAGTTGGATCAATAGCTACTATTGCTTGGAAGACCGATCGGGCTTTTACTTGGGCCCAGTATATTGTCTCTTTTTGTGGGAAAAAAAAATCATTAAAATGCCTTTAGTTTTTCCGGGTTCTCAAATTTAGCTACTCAAAGCATGAGAATTCATTTTTGCTCGAACTAAGAAGCTTAAAAAAAGATTTGAGTTATTGTTCCGACTTTCGATACGAAAGTCACGGAATATTTGTACTCGGGGTGGGTTTTTTTTTTCTTCAGACAAATTTTGACTTTTAAACTAGCCACTTTTGACGGATTTTTTTTAAATCATTCGAAAGGTATTGTTGTCTTGAGCTTAAATTTGAAAAGATATTTCACCTGTGATTATTTTTCGTAAAGTTACGGGGGTTTAAAGATTGCCAATTTGGGACAATTAACGCGCGATATATTTCGCGCTATTAACACGTAAGCGGAGAGTTAATCCGTCTTAGAAACCGTTCCAAATTGGTTGAAAGAAGCTTATTTGCCATAATTGATTTGTTACAAGGAGCGAAATCTATCCTTTTGTACTTAATATGGCGTGTGGGGTGATGATTTTTAATTTAAAAAAATTCAAATTTTAGAAAAAAAAATTTTCATTTTGTTTTATTTAATTTAATTTTTTCAATGTTATTACTGCTTTTAAATGTAGGCAGTCGGAACACTCAGGGCTTCGCCCTGATACGAGCAGTCTTGTTTGAGATTATGTTTATCCATTTCCCAAAAACATTCCGTAAGATTCCGTAACTGAAATTCTCAAAATTCTCTGGTTAGCTTTTAATATAAAAGGTTTAAAAAGTTTTACAAAAATTGTTGGCAAAAAAGTTTTATAATAATTTGTACAACCCGTCCTTTCGATTATGTCTCGGTGATATATTACAATAGGTGGTAATTTAAAGTTAAATAGCTGGATCGCTTTTTGTTATACTTCGCACAGTTTATATAATTTATTTCAAAAGCCAAAAATTTGAGTGTTTGAGTAACATTTCATCTAGCAAATTACTGTATTTACAAACACTATCTTAGCAGCGTGTACAAATGATTGGAAATGAAATGACTATATTATGCATTGTAGTTCTCAATTTTAATACATGCACTATAATTAAAATTACAACCTATTGTAATATATCACCGAATATTTTTGCAATTATAGCTCTATTTTGTCTAAATTTTGACATATGCAGTCGGGGCTGATTTAGGAGGGGGTGGGGTGGTGTTGTCGGTAGGGGGGTTACACCTTCCTTCACGGATTCGACCCCTTGTCGACCCAAAGGGTCCCCTTTAAACTATTTTGATGAGATATCCATTTTAGGTGACGGACCCTTAAAAAATTGTAAAAGCGCCTTTGGGGCCAATATATTTTAATGGTGAGGGGAGAGCGCGCGCCAAAAAAACGCAGTTTTGAGGTTAAAGTTTTCCGAAAAGTGCCTCAAAACGCCTTTTTTGGCATGTTTTTTTTTCAAAATTTTGCCTGCGACGCAGAAAACTTGGCCAAAACAGTGTCTTTTGAGTGCTTTGGCAGAGGTCGACAAAGTTCCCAGCGTTTATTACAGCAACAGAAAAATGATTTTGGAAAAAGTTCGGAAAACTAAAGAGTGATTTGTTTTATAGAGCTCTAAAAAGCCTTTGAGATAATCGAGCATACTATTCCGCTGAAATATTCAAAAACTATGATTTTTATGGCATATGATACATTCTACCATAGTCATTTATGGCTTCACTCGAGATTTCTTGCAAACACACAAGAAAGTGGAATAGAAAACTTTAGGCGAGAAAAAACGTGAACACACTTTCAGAGTTTATGCGCAGTAAAAATCTATTTTTTAAACGGTTAGCAACACCTCCTTGAAAACCATAATAAGATCTTTCAACCCCGAGTTTAATTTAGATCAATTATGCTGCGTGTATGCGTGCAAAATACTCAATTCTGTCAGGCTGAAAATTTTGCTTTAGAATTCCATTGATGTTTTCTTGGAGGGGGGTTAAATAGGGGATTAACATGGTCCAACATTCCATATAACTGTCAAGACTAATATGTTTTTACTAGAAAAGAGGTTTAAAAAATCAGTACCTGCATAAAAACAAAAAAGATCAGAATGGGTTTATGTCAGTAGACCGTTTCCGTGGTACTTAATTTTGCTTGGTAAACAAAAAAAAACATTCGAATACAAATGCCAATAGACCGAACAATAAAAAATCATATTATTTCTAAAGTTTTTGGAACTGTTTTTATGCGCCAACTGTGCTATTGTTTTAAATCAGGCCTCTTTATTTCATTCTGAAACTTTTTGTTTTTTTTGTCTGTTTTCAGTTTCAAAAAACTTCCTCCGCATCTCAAGTGCAGGATGTGTCTAAAATTCCTGTTCCTTTTAAAGCATTGTCAATTTTAAACCTACCCACATCTTAATCAGTTAAAGTGTGATAATATAATTTAGCCCTGTCAAATAGTGGCAAATCTATAATTGCAATGTAACAAATATCCGCTCATCTTCAACTTCAATCCATCTTCAAATTTTCAGCCCCCTCCCTCCAACCTATTTCCTCATTTGAGTCCATTATAGCCCCGGGATCATTTAACAGAAGAGTTTGTCCAAAATTTTCAAATAGCAGAAATTTTCAAAGCAGAATTTGCTTCTACAGAATATGCTTTATTCGTATCTTTAATCTATGGATGTACTTTTGAATCATTCTGATGATTTTTTTGTAATGGAAGAAGTTTTTAATATAAAAATTTTACCACTCATGTTAAGAAAAATAATTTTTACCATTCTAGTTATTGAAACTTAGCATGCCTCCAGATCTGGAACAAAAAAATGCAACTGAAACTTAATCGCCTGAAAATGCGGAGGATCCGCGCTTAATTCATAAACTGCGCACAGTGAAAGTACTAGATGCAATAAATACCCTTTTGAATAGCACTTTAAGCAAAAACAGAGCTTTCAGACCGGTTATGCTAATCGCACTTGTTCTTATCGGGTAATTTACGCAAAAGACGCTCAACGATGTTCAACTGCATTTAAGTCACTAATGCTCCTCAAATGAAGTGTGTTAAAATTTTTCCACCACAGGACCACTTTTGCTATCATATTTTACTAAATATAATTTTCGCTAGATCGCTAACACCTCCCTACAAATGGGCTTCCTTTAACCCAGCCTACCTGTTCAACTCACTTGAAACTAAAAACCTTTTGTTGTTCACATTATCTCTATTCTCTACTTTTCTTTCCCTCAAGCAGGAAAATGTAAGTTAAAATACGTGAGATCGTCTCAATATCGCGGCGATGTAATTACTTGAAAATTGACCAAGCGTAAAAACAGTTGCTCGGGCTTGAAAACCGTAAAAAACGCACACATTCTTAAACATATACATCTCAAGCATCGCACTGTTTATAACCAATCCATTGGCTTTTTAAACTCATCGCGAAAATGGTTAGTTTTTCTTTTGGTTTTTTGTTGCATACTGCATACCTATTGTTTTGTTTGTTCATGACTTTAAGTTATGGATGTATGATTTTGTTTAGGGAATTGTAAGAAAGTTCGCGATTTGATCGGAATCCGCAGCTAATCCGGCTCACACTCCAGAGATCTCCTCTGGAAAAATAGAAAAAAAAGAGCAAATCTGCAATTAGCGGCAAATTTTCATCCATTCTTTTCTGTTACTCTCCCTCTATTTTGATAGCCTTAGGAGCTCTGCTATCTGCATTTCCTTAATTCTCCTCAAATCCCCCCATAAACCACGGCAGCAGACATGTTAGCCATTTCCCATTAGAAACGTTTATAGACTCTTTGTCCAAGTTCTATATCTGATCTATGTTTGCTAAATTATTTTCGAAAGAAGCAAAAAAACTGCTACATTGTTTCAATTTAGTATCGCTTTATAAAACTGTAAGTCTTCGAGTCTTTTACATCTCTTAACTATGGTCATTTAGTTTCTTCTCAAAATTTACCGACTAGATTTGTTGAGAAATACAAATTGAGCAAATTATGGACATATAAGATCTTCAGTGCTTCAGGAGATCTCAAAAGGCAATTTTGGTTGCCTCCAAAAGTATCTGAACACAACCACTTAAAAAAAAGATTTTTTTTTTCCAAATCGAGTCGTTTTTTTTTTGGTGTCGAGAGGATCTTAAAGACTGGCTGAAACTTGGACATATTTGACAGATTAAGTGACTTTTAGAGATATTTCAAAACAGTTTTCACCCAAAAAAAGTATATAAAAAAAATGAAAATCTCGAAAAAAAATTTTTTTTAAAATTGTTTGCTGGATTTTTTTGGTTGACTTAAATTTTCAGACTTTTTTATCAATAACTTTTTTCTAATCAAATGTTAAAAACAAGACAAAACTGGACTTTTTTGCTCTCTGAATAGCTTGCTCGCTCGCTTGCTAGAAGTTAGGCTAAAATATTAAAAATAAGTTTTCCAAACTGGCTTTTCTCAACAATGGAAAAACTTTTTTTGTCTTTTTACACTTAATTCAAGTCGCGGCTAAAAGTGCTTTTGAATTATATATCACTCTACTAATTCCGATGGTTCATTATCTGTAGTTCCTCATGTTGCGTGGAAAAAACAAAAAGAAACAAGAAGAGCATGTTACTGCGCATTTAGCACAGAGTGTTCCAACACGACCCCATCTCATTTACAATCAACTTACAGTTTTTTAAAAAATGAGCCGTTTTATTCATGCGTGGTGCAGTGAGAGATTTTTAAAAATGCCTAGAACGTCAGTGAATGAAACATACTTGTCGACAGCTGTCTTCGGAAAGCAAGTAACAAACAAAGGTTATCCTATTTTTTTGTAAACGTTTTTTTAAAGCCTCATTTTGTTTGCCGATTAGCATTGCTAATTGTTTACTAATTAATGCTTCCAAAATAATTTTCGAGAAATTCGATTATTTTTTAAAGCTTAAGTGTTTTTTAAATCATTTTTTATAGACAAGCGCAATTTTTTGAATTTTTTCCTTACTTTCTTCAAATCACGACTGAAAGGGCTTCAAAATGATATATCACTCAAAGCAAACCGATTATTTTTTGTGGTAGTTACTTTTGAATGGAAAACAAAAAAACGAACACACCGAAGATAAAGTTTCTCCCCATTTTCAATGGTTGGAACAAAAAACGGTAACTTCCCAAATGACATAATTCCCAAATGGCATTAAAATTAAACTTTTCCGAAATTGCATAAATTTCAAGTTTTCATGGTAGTTCTGTCGGACGAAACATGTGAACAAGATTTAGAATTTATTGCTTCCAAACAAATATTAAGCGACAATTTTGGCAGAAAAATTCACTACACGACGCTTATCAGTAACATCAAGTTTATTCTTTTCGCTTTTGATAATAAATTCTGAAACTTTTTCAAGATAAAATGTCATTCAACATTTGAATTGGCAGTTTGACTAATTTTCCCACATGGTTCAAGAAAAAGTTTTCTCGATTTTTCTAATGCAACTGTTGTATGAAATTAATGCATTTGGGAAGTTATTCATTTTTATACCATTTTGGAATTATGGCATTAGAAACTTAATCCAAAAAACGTACAAGCACCCAACAGCAAAGTTTCTTCCACTTTCAGTGGTCGCACCAAATAAAACATATGTTGCTAGTTTGCTGTTTTACATACTTTTCTTTTGAATGCAACAAGTTAATGCGTTTCGAACCGCAACATGCAAGTCTCGTGTAAACCAAAGCAGCTACAAACAGCAGTGTGATTGTGTACGTATCTGGTTGTTCCAAATTTCGAAGAAAAAAAACGAGTTGAGAAAGTTACGAAAATTTTTTATGCAATCAGTTGCGAATTTTTTGTATAGTGTTTTCGCCAAAAAATACCATCCGAAGTTACGAAAGTTGAAAGCGGTATTGTTCTAATGACCTGTACCATTTTTCGAGCAGTTAGCAGCGTTATACCGCTTTTAATTTTTAGTTATATGCTCATAGTTAGGTATCGGTTTTTTGAGACAAGCTACAACTTCCAAAAACTTTTCAAACTCTCATCCACAATATATATAAGCAAATTAATTTGATTTTCCGAGCTCTCTCAGGGCCGCAAAAAATTTAAAATCATGTCATAAGAATCAATTTTGTATAACAAAATATTAAGATGGTGATTTCCCAAAAATTGAGCATTATAATAACTTTATTTCAAAAAGAACATTCGTTCGTGGTCACATTCCAGTTTAAGTTGTTTTAGTCGAAGAAAAATGATAGTCATGCAATTCCCGTGCAATTTCGTATAGAGCCGTTCCCATAGTAGGGTCATTGAATAAATAGACTTTTTCATACAATAATTGTATGAATTTGTTTGACGAGCATTTTCCTTGTATGGTGGTCAACCTGGGAATTTGCAACAATAAAGCTATATTTGAGACCCATACTTAATTTTCGAAAACAAAAAACGTCTCAAGAACTTGTTTCCTTTTCATCAAATTCAATAGTTCTTTTAATAAGTGATTGTTAAGTTTCACAAAAAAATGATCACATTGATTGGTAGGTTTGAGTGGCTTTCAATTTTCATCGAAGACTTAATTTAATTTTTTAATGGATCGAAAATGCGAAAAAAGCAATTGATTTTAAATTGAGAGATAATTTCCTCATGCAGTTGGCACTTAGCGACAGTGTCTTGAAATATTGATTTTATTTTTTATCTTTCAGTGGTAGGGTACGATTTGGCTTAATTCTAGTATAGACTGTTGGTTTTAATCTAGAATGTAACGAGGAACAAAAAAAACATGTATTTCTCTATGCAAAAAAGTCTGATGATAAAAACAAATCTATTCCAAATGACTTGATTACGAAAATAGCTGCCAACTAACGTTGATTTGACTCAGCTGGTGGGGGATTGGGAGATTCCCTTCCTTTGCAGGGATTTGACCCCCTCACCAACCAAATGGTTACCACTTTGATATTATTCCATTTTCGGCTGACCACCCCTAAAGTTTTCTAAAGGCGCCTTGGGCACCAACATATACTAATTTTGAAGGGTAGCGCACGCCGAAAAACGCAATTTTTGGACCTGTTTTTTTTTTCAAAATTTGCCTGCTGCATAAATTTGTTTGGCAAAAAAGGATTTTCATAGTGCTCTGGGAGCGTTCGGAAAATCAATTTGTTCTTTAGCTTTAGTCAAAGAAAAACATTTTAGCTTTAGTTTTAGAGCTGATAGCCGGAGAAGTTTTCTTCTAAGTTGACAGTAAACTGCAATATGCAAATAAAATAAATCGGCTGCTAATTTGGGAAATAATTTCAGCTTCACTTTTCAGTCAGTTCTGGAGCAATGAAAGTGGAAGTGTTCATGCGTTTTCCAAATTCAATCACTTGAAGTCTAGGTTTTTTTGATTTCCTGGATTCGGAAGTGAACTTGTTAGATGAAATTAGAAAAATATAATTCAATTTCAGACTTTTGTCTGTTTGATTTTCGTATTTGAGAACATTTCTGAACCGATCATACTTTGCTGAAATAATCTTTGCTCTTTTTTAGACGAAGTGCGTTCAGCGAGACATACTAAATTGGAAATTATCAGTTTCCGGTGTATTATAACAGAATTAACACTATTATGAACTAGAATTAGCAAAGACGGCTTCAGCTTCAAAAAAAGCTCAAATATAATTCAAAGTTGACATATCTTCTGAACAAAGGATTATATATTCCCGATGTATTTACCAATTGTCTAGATTTTATTCTCTCTTCTTGTCTTGTCAGAATTGAAATGAAAGAATTCTGTTTCATTATTTCTTATTTGCAGTTATATTTGTCCCCATTTACCAGATTTTGTTCCCTGACTTGAAAAGTGACAACTTATGTTAGTTTTAATGAACATTCCTAACAAAAGGCTCAAAGTTGAAAAAAACGTACAGCGCAATAGTGGAGTGTAAATTTCATTTTCAAGCATAAAATTTTTTATTAAATTACATTAACTGAAATGATAATTTTATGACATTTTAGTTTCAATTTCTTTCGTGATTCACTCCATAATAATTAAATGGTATAAATCGTATTGTACCATCTGCATATAGTTTTTGCATTTGTTGGTCATTTTTAGCTTCAAAATTGGTCATTCCACTTGACAATTTATCCCGTGGCGATCCCTCATTAACCCGCAAAGAATGTCAATTACGATAGCCTAAGGGTACGGTTTTTCAACCTTCTCAGGGCCAATATTGGTATTAGGATAAAATTATCTGCAAGCATTTTTGTTATCAAGAGTCCATTTTATTTGATACCAGTCAAGTTCATCGTCGACCACTGTGGGGCTTTTCCGCCTTCATTTTGAATACTTAAGAAACATTTAATTCTTTTTCAATTACTGTTAGAGCAAAAATAGCTTGAAAACGCCTACTTTTTAATCAACTTTCCCAACCACATAAAAATTATGTCTTCATTATTTTACTCTATCTGACAACGAAATTCAATTTCAAAAACGCTTTAAATTGAGCTCAATATTCTGATCGCTGAAGATGCAAATTAATTTTGTTATTTCCCAGTTGGCTCAATTATTGCTGTTATCAGTCCTCAACTTTATCATCGCTTTCCTTAATCCATGTTCCACAGTTTTGATTCGCCATGATAAAAGTTAGTTAAAAATCTTAATAGTATAACTTTTTCATTGACAAGAAAACTTTTGAAAAGCTTTGTAAACTGACTTGACTTCATGGTGTAGCTTGTGACTCACTCAGGTTATATGTCACATTAACCTCACTGTTAGATAAAACTAAGGGCCAATTTTCATTTACGACACTCCTTTATTTTTAAGACACTCGAGTTTTTTCAGTAATAGGGGCGGTAATTTGGCAAAACGCTCAACGTGCTCCGAAAGAATTAAAAAAGCAAAACTAAAAAGAATCTTGATTTTTCTTAATTTATGCTTTCTCGGATTGAGGGAACTGGAAACTGAAGCCCCTCATGAACAGTTCAACTAAAATGACGCATGAAACAACTTTTATTAGTCTTTTACCAGATATAAATGCTGTTAACAGCCATAAGTGCGTAATTCAACTCCACACGCTCCAAATTAGACCAAAAAACATTTTAAAAAAATTAGACAGTTTTTTCTACGAGCCCAAAACATTTTTTTTTTGCAAATTCAGTTTTAAGATGTATACCGACTGAAAGGGTTACAGTATGATATATCACTCGCCTCCATCCAACATTTATTTATGGTCCTGGATTGGGGGGACACCCTTGAATCGGTTGGGAGAAACGACTAAATTACTGAATAAAATATAATTGTAGACTTTCAACCGTTCTAATTGTACATTGGTTTGATTAGTAATTGGTTGCTGGGATACCTTATTAGCTGAAAAGCTCACTAATTACATTCACATATTTTTTTTAACGAGAAAGTTTAAAACCAGAAAACACACCTTAAAATACAACACAAGCTTTTAAAAATTATATATCATACAAACCTCAGACAATATTTTCTGTGTTGCCTTATTTTCCGTAAAAAAAACACAACCGAATAAATAGAAACTTTTCCTCTTTTACGTGTGATCGGGACAAATAGTCGGTCTCATGTGTTTAAAAAAACGAACTGCAAGTCTACCAGATCAAGTTTTTATTCTATTAAAAGATTAACTTAGCTCAAAAAAATATTTGCTTTTCAACATGTGGATTAGTGTAAAGTTATGGTGGATTGTAAATTATCCATTTGGCCAAACTGGGATATTTAACGTGCACTTTTTAACAAATTCCTTCTACCCTGTAGTGTGTGGGGCAATTTGAACATTTTTTCTACAAATTGAATTGAGGCAAACTAATCGAACCAAACATCAGGTTGTTAGATGATTATTAGATGAAAATGTTGTTGTGTACTTGCGTGTTGCAGAAAAAATAACTAGCAAATGAAACAATTGTGAAACGTTTCTGCAAAAAAATTTACAATTTTTTTTTCAAACTATTGAAGGAGAGAGATTTAAATGGCAGTTCAAATCATACTGTAGCTCAAATCAAAATTTTGTTTGACATGCAGATGCGTGGTAAAAAACGCCATGGCCATATGACTGCAGTTCAGTTTCCTTCTTACAATGGCTGAAATCTTGTTCCATCAAAGAGGCAATGGTTGTTCAAGTACCTCGTGAACTTCGAACAGAATGGATTTAACAAGAAAAATTCCAGAAGAAAGAATAGTTTTTAAATAATGAAACAATTGTTCTAAAGTTTTTTTCTTGAATTTTTTTCGGTAAAAACGACTCAATTTGAGGAGAGGTAACGAATGCTAAAATAACGCTAAAACTATAGCAGTATAAATTTCAACTTGTTTTTCAAATTAGTCTCAATTAGTCTAAACTTCGGTCTAATTCAACCAAAAAGCCCAAAATATTCGGACCCATTTTTCGACACAGAGTTTTTGTTTTTCGTGGAACCCGATTGACAACGAAAATGTATTTGGTATTATACTAAATTTCACCTCCTGTAAATTTTCATTGAAGTTTTTAAAATGGGGCGGAAATGGGAAGTTTGGTTGTTACAACAACGACAAGACCGTTGTTTAATATGACAATTTTAAAAAAATCTTTTGCTATACCTTCTGAATTATCAAACTGCAAGGTTGACAGGTTGCTGCGCAGAAACTTTCGCCCATATTTGTTTCGATTGAAATTCAAAAACTGAAAAATCGAAGAAAAAAAATTATACTAGAATTATAAAAGTGCAACAATGCCTAAAATAACATGAGCTTATTCGCAAGCTCTTAGATGGTATAAGAAATCCGATCAAAATGGCTAGTTAAAAATTCTGAAGAAAAAACCATCCTAGCACAAGTATTTCAACACCTTCTTCGAAAACTGAATCAAAAACAGGAACTGTTGAATAACTTCTAGACCAAACAGTTGCAAGAGAAACCAAAAAAATTTCTCAATAAGATTGCCTACTTCGAACGATAATGTAAAATGTTAGTTTAGCTCATTAAACATTCAAAAAGTAAAAAAAGTGCAAATAACCAACAAAGAGCTTTACTAGTGCAAAGGTTCGACAATTTGCAAAATTAAGGGAGAAGGTGGGGTTTCCACCGTTTCATTTAGAGATGCTTTTTTGCTCAAAATTTAATTACAAGCCACGGCGAAATCGTCCAGATTTGAACCAGAAAAAGTTTTTATCAAATAACAACAGATTCAAGCAATTCACTGAAATTCTCGTTTGCCATTATAATTCAGCTCACTTTTTTTCTAAATTAAAAACCGATTAAGAGAACTTTTTTTTTCAATTTGGACATAATGGGGGAAGTGTGATACGGCAGGAGGGCCGCCCCCAATGATAAGGTCATTATGTTATAGTGTTGTTGCTAAAAGTCATAGTATTAGAGAGAGTGAATTTGGTGTTAGTGTTTGATATCAAGGTCGGTACCAGACGACCGTGTAAGTGACTTGATCAAGGTCGTCTGGTGAAAAGGTCTTTATGTTATTGTGTTATTGCTAAAGGTTTATGAATGAATCACTCTTTTGTTTTTTTTTGTGAAAGATACAGAACACTTCTTGGTTAATTCTATTTCAATTTATAATATTACACATCTTGTTTTACTAATTAAGAGTACCTCGGTTGACATCCTACATGGCGCAGCCAGCAATTTTGGTCGGCGAGGACCGAACTGCTCTAAAACCACAACGTAGCCTTTATTTCCTTGGGAGTCGTGGATTGGTCACTTTTTTTAGTTGTAAAATTAATAGAACATTCTAACGCCAACATTTTACTGAGTGACCCAGTAGAAGTGTCTGACGATCTCCCTCCGCGACCAGAAAGAAAGGGAGATTCAGAAGCCCAAATAGAAGAAAACAACTGCATCGCAAGAGATCAAGCCGAAATCCGCAAAACAAACGAATTCATTGATGAAAGGAGAAAAAATGGAACAAAATTTGGCCCAAACGTATTCTTCCATGAGGCGGACCAAAGGATCAAATCGCGGCTATTCTTCTCTTTTGAGACAGAAGGTAAGAAAAGATTCTTACAAAATCATGCTCCTGTAGATATCGCAACGATCAATTTCCGCGACTTCTACAATCATTGCGAGACACTATTCAATAGAGACAAAAACTACATCATTGAGAGGGTAAATCTCTACAACACCCAACAAAATCAACCCTATCAGTTCAGCGAAAGAACAATATCCAGAATAGAACAAACCGAGCACAAAATTCCAGAGGAAAACTCAACAACCGGCAAAATCAAAACCAACAAAGAGGAAGCAAACCATGTTATTTTTGTGGCAAGGAATTCTCCATAAACTATAAAATCTGATGCCCGGCAGAGAACGCGACATGTAAGATTTGTAATAAGAAAGGCCATTTTACCAGATGCTGCAATTCCAGAGGCAACGTAGGAGTAGTGGATGATGACTCTGAAATCGCAACAGAAGAGGAAAGCGATTTCATTACTTCGGACAGCGAGCCGGAATATTTGGTTCTGAACATCTCACCAAGGGACGTAACTACCCATCAGAAACAAAAACTCGAATATTCAGTCAAAAAACTAGAAGTCATCAAATCTGCTACTGGGAAAATCAGATGCAAACAGGTTACACTGAGAGTCAACAAAACACTTTTAGGGCCACTGTAGACACGGGTAGCCCAGCATATTTCATTATCAAGAAAACCGCAGATATACTGGTCAAATCGGGCGCAAATGTACAACTATTGGCATTTTCTGAAATTGCTATCGACAGTCATTATGTAGATTACAATAGAAGAACTATCAAATTATTTGGAACTGTAATCGCCGAAGTTTCTTCACTAGGATGGCAGATCAACTCAGCGAAGCTTCTGGTTTCAGAAAATCGCACTGGATGCCTATTAGGTCTCGACCTTCAAAGTGCTTTGGGTGTACAAACCACCCAATCAGGATCAATTCCCATTAACGAAATTTCATTTCTTTCATCTTAATCAGACAGGTGGCGAAAGTATTTTATGGAGAAGTTCAAAGATGTATTTACCAGACAGGGCAGATCGAAAACCACCGGGTAATTTCGGTATTCAACGACCCTTTGGTCGCGATGCAAGAAAAGGGTCGGAGTGTACCAATTTATATCCAAAACAAAGTAGGCACCCAAATCAAGAACCTCATCAAAGAAGGACATATCGTAAAACTGAATAAATGTACTAGCGATCAATTTGTAGCAGCGGTAGTTATTACAGCTAAAAAAAAGACGGCTCCATAAAACTAGCAATGGACGCATAGCCGATGAACGCCCAGATATTCAAAACCAACACCAAATGCCTAAACCTCTGGAATAATTGGACATTGCCGCGCAAATCATCAATGCGGATGTTCCGGGCAAAGTTTGGTTTACATCTCTTGACCTAAAATACGTTTTTAGTCAACTTTTACTCAGCGAACTTATCAGTAGTCACTGCAATTTTAGTATCGTATGCGGAGAATCAACCGATACCTATCATTTTAAAACTGGATTTTATGGCCTTACAGACATGCACAAAGAATTTCAGAAGGCTATGGACAACACTCTTCAAAATATCAAGGAAGTCATTTGTTTTCTTGACGATATTCTAATTGTTTCCAAAGGATCTATTAAAAACCACAACCGGATCGTCAAAAACGTCTTCCATAAATTAAACGGAGAAGGC